ATAAGCAAAGGAGCTGAGGCAGCTGTTGGGTGCTCATGTCAGGAAAGAGGTCAAGCAGCACCCAACAACACTTCCACAACAGCCTGAGTATTCACTTAGGTGCCTAGAAGCTGCTGCCACCTTATTAGGTAAAGGTCTCCCTTGCTCGAAAGCCAGTCGAATCCAACTCCAGGGTTACCGTGCTCATCTCCGTTTCAAAGCCGAAGAGCCAGCGCTGTCCGAAGACGTTTCCGTGGTCATGTGGCCGGCATGACTAAACACCAAGGTGCACGGAACGCTGTTACCTTCCCACCGAAGTGGTCCCTATTTATCTACTTGCAATTTCTTGCTTTCGAATGGCTAGGTTGGCAGGAGCTGGAACTAGAGATGGGAGCTCACTCCATCATGCAGCACCCGGGTCTCAAACTGAACTACTGACCTTCCACAACCTGCAGTTCAGCGTCTTAACCACAAAAAATCAAACTGACAGTTGTCATGACCATCTGACTGACTACTCAGAAAGCCAGTAAAGGGTTTTAAGGCAGTCATAATGCTCTGGCAGATAGCTGCTGGATTTATTTCGAAATGTACAGCTTCAGGTACACAATTTCCCTCACATTCCTGGGATTGAAGTCACTAAGGTCAGGCTGGAAACCTTATGTCTTTCAGATAAGGAACAGCAATTAAGACCTCAAAGCAAATTCTCCTCCCCAACCGCCCAATCCATGCCTACTTGCATGTTCTGCCAAAAAACAGTAAAACTTATGCCCAAGACATATTTAGGGGTGTAGCTTTAATACAAGGAATGTTTTGTAACTGGAACATTACATATGCAGATGCATTAATACTTGTGCTATTACCTCCCAAACTGGGGGGGGGGGGGTTGCTTTTAAAAAAGGGCATTTGAGCTAGAACCAGTGGAAAACAGGAAGACCCAGAATGATGGATTGACCCCATAAAAGAAGCCATGGCCTCCAATTTGCAAGACCTGAGCAAGGCTGTTAATAGGAAATGTTGGAGGTCAAACAACTTGACGGCACCTACATTGTGTTTTATGCCAGTTTACTTCAATAATTGTGATCCACGTTGAATTATCTTTGGGGAAACTGTATTTTCTGCAATCATCTGAGCCCCTCTGTCCAAAAACCTTACAGGTAACCATAAAGCTATACACCCTTTGGCTCCTGAACATATCCCATCCTAACAGGATTCATGCAGCAATTGTTAAATTAGGTTTAGAGTCACAGGCGGCCGGCCAGCAACTCAAAACCATAAACGTGGACTTCACTGCGAGCGCTACAGACACCGGCACAAAGGAACAGGCTGTACTGGTACCGTGTCACGTTTAGTTCTAGCTGAAGGTTTTATTCACTAAGAACTCAATTCAAAAATGAATCACAACTGCACTGTGCAGCACAATTCTCCGTCCACAAAATTGCTCCACTTTAATGGAACACAGTGCCAGTTTAACAAACTGCTTGCTAAGCCCCACCCAGAAAGGGGAAGATGCTTTTCTTCGTATCACCAGTTGCAGCACAGGCGTCTCTCGGTATTGACAAAGCACACACTTATTTTGAAGGGCTAGCTGAGCTACTGTGCTATCCTAGGCAGAGCGACTCCAATCTAAGCCTCTTTATTCCAACGCATGAGATTGTGCCCCACTGCAAGATACGGAAAACCTAACTAGATTTCATTCCAGAATAAGCTTTTGAGGCCCAAGATCCACCTTGGCCAAGGGGAAAGGACTGGAGCTTGCAGAGTTCTGTGCTGGAAAAAAGCCTTTGAGTCAGGAGACCCCCATTCTGTTTCAGAGCAATCCCGACGTCTTAAACAAGGCTTTGAGGAGCAAGCCCAAATCGCTGTACTACAGCGATGCAAGGAAAAGGGCAGGGGGTTTTCCATCCATGGTACAGCGCACTGTTTAAGCAATCAGGCAGAAAAGCACCAAGCAAGTCAGTCAGAAGACATTCTAGGCTCTTCAATCGGAAAGCAGAACTGCACGGCACAACCTCACGCTTCGGTTAAAAGCAACCATGGTTCCCCCCCCCCCCCCCCATGCCGTCACATGGTCAGCCAGGGCTCCCCCCCCCGGTCACTCCC